AGCCGTGGGGCCAGCTTGCTCTGCAGGGCACGAGCAAGCATTGAGGCTAACCTGCTGGGGCGTGGGGACGTGGAGGCTCTCATCTCCAGAAGGCTTGCAGGAGGCGCTAGGTTGGTGCTGCATGTCTCGTTCCACCTTTCTCAGCCTGGCCTTAACCGCGATGTTTTCCCCTCTCTTTTACATCCTTGCTGCTGTTCCCCAGCCCGTTGGGGCATCCTTAATCTGCTGGTGGCTGTGACAAAGGCACAGAGCCCGGCAGCATGGACACCAACCAGTCCTCAGGCCATGTCTGAGCCCTGGTGGGACTGGCCCTGCCCAGCCCTGCAGTGCTGTACCCTCCCGGCAGCTCTCAATCCCTCATCTGGGTACTGGTGCTGGTGGGAGCAGGGTCAGCAGAAACATGGGCTGATGCTAATGCCATAGCCATCTGGGGACCTTGCTGCCCTGGCTGTCGCTCCTGTTGTGTCTGAGTTCAGGTCTCGGGCCCCTTTGTCCCAGTGCCTGGCTGCGTTCCTCTCACAGGCAACTTCCTCGCATTGTCCAGGGCCTGGAGAGTGTAAAAACCAGCAGAGCACAGGGGAAACAGCGCTTTCCTGGAAGGTACCATTCCCTGCGACAGGCTATAGCTTCTCCAGGCTGCTTGTGGCTGGAGGTGGCCAAGGGGCAAGCGGGGCCCAGGATGTCTGCATGTGACTGGACTGTCCCAGTTGGGCTAGAGACATCTCCAGGGAAAAGCTAGCAAATAGCTGAGCTGTCCCGATCCTTGGCCACCCTTGGGGGTGCTCTGCCGGGGTGCAAAATGGGCTCCTCTTCCTTTCACCAAGCTGGGCCTGCCACCAAAGCAATCCCCAGGTACCGGCAGCCGAGCCTGGAGGCTGCTGGAGAGCTTGGGTTCAGCCACTCGGGGCTGTGTGCATGCTAGGGGGTTGCACGTTGGACACGCTGTAGCTCTGGTCCATCCTTGCCATGGCACTAGCAGGACAGGCAGGGCTGCTTGCAGCTCTTGGGGAAATGGGGGTGGAGCAGGGACTTGAGCATGTGATCTGGGGTGTAGCCCAGGGCTGATCGCCTAGGGCACTTCCAGCCACCAAGGCTGCGAGAGGCCTGGCCTGGGGGGGCTCGACTCGCCATGGGGCCAGAGGAAACCACTGCAGGCCATGCACCATCCTGAGGACTGGCGTCGTCGTAGCCTTGGGGCTCTGCAGGAGCTTCTCAAGCAGGGAGGGTCCCCACGCGCTGCCCTCGTTGCAGAGGACTGGCCAGCCGATGCTGGGAATTGCAGCGAGGATCCTTTGAAGTCACTGTGCCAGGTTTCCTGAGGCTCTGAGGAAAAACTTTTGCCTTTCTTCACTGGGGAAGCGCACAAGATAGATGACTGCAATAGGCTGGAGGAAGTCGCATTATCAGCTTGAAAGGGCCAGGCTAACGGAGAGCAGTGACGGGCTGGGAGAAAGGCTGGCAGAAGGGGAAGGGCTGGAGGAGTCCAGTCCTGCTCGCTGCCTTTGGAGGGTGGCTCACGGCAGGCTGGTTGGAGATCTGTGGTCTGTTTGGTTTGGACTTCTCCTTGTCTGCAGGATAGCAAAGTGAGGGTGATGACGTAGGAGCTCCTGCATCCGCGGTCAAATCCAGAGCTGCCTGGCCTGTGGCCACCAGTTCCACAAACGTAGCTCCGTCCCGGACTGTCCTTGGGAGCAGCAAAGGTTGCCACGCGTCGGGCTGTTCCTGCTCTGGCTGGGCCCTTGACAGAATGAGGCCACCTCCCCGTAGCTCTTGGGCCCTCAGCAGAGAGCTGAGTGAGTTCATCTGATGGCTAGCTGCAGTATCAGGTCAAGCCCTGCTGAGCGCGCAGCCGCGCGCGCAGGCAGTTCCTGGCCCCGCAGCACGAGCGGAAGGCACGCCGGGCCCTGTCCTGTGCCTGCGCGCACTCCTGGGCTCGCAGGCCAAGTCCTCCCCATGTAGGATCAGCGTCCGTGCCTCCCCTGCCGGTGGCATGTGCCAAGATGCCCCGTGAGGGTCTTGTTTCGTGTCTCCAGAGCCAAATAGACGGGGCCTGGCTTTTACCTAATAGCGCTGCCTCGACACAAGAGCAGCCCCAGCACTGGGAATAACAGATGCTGCTGGCAGGGGGGGCAGAGGGGGTGGGTGTCCCCACCTACACCCAGCCGCTCAGCTTCCCACCCTGCCTTTGCAGCCCGGAGGGCTTTTGTGCTCTGCATCTGCAAGACTCCTACTCAAAAGCACAATTGCAGAAGCCTGCAGTGCCCTGGCCCGGGCACAGCGCCCAGCTCTCACTCCCAGCTACCAGCGTGCCATCTCTCTTACCACAGGGCTGATGGGCTCCGGGGCACATCCCCTCCTGAGCCGTTTCCTACCCCAGGAGCAGCAGCCCTGGGGCACGCGGCTGGCAGGCTCTGAGGATGCCCCTGCTCCCCGGCACTTTCCCAGGCTGACATTTGCCTGACCTGCTTCTGAAAGCTCTCAGGGAAGAGATCCCACACCCAGCTGGATCACCTGTGCAGGCTGCACTGCCCCACCGCTCGGGAGGATGTTCCCTATATCCAGCCTCGGATTTCCTGCTGTAAATGGACCTGCTTTCTCAGCATCACCCTGTTGCTCCCCTCTGTATAACAACGTCCCGGGAGACAGTTGTCACATCCAGCTAAGCCATCTCCCTGCCCTAGCATAAACAGCCATGTTCCTTCTGCCGTTCCTCGTGACTCGTGGTTTTGCTGCTCTCCTCCTGGCTATCTTGGTTTGGTTTTCATATGTCTTGGAGCCTGAGGCCCAAAGCTGAGCTGCTCAGCCCATCACTCCCGGTGGGGCTGGTGCCAGGGTGATGCCGGCCCAGGCAGGAGTTGGCTCTGCTCCTTGCCAAGCTCCAGGATGTTCGCGCTGGCCCCGTTTATGTGAGGCAATGCAGCAAAGATAGATAGTCTCGCCAGCAGTGCCACGAGCACGTCTGACCCAGCCAGGTACGTCCCCCCCTCCTCTCTGGAGGCTGGGCTGCCATCAGCATCGCGTGTGGCAGCGGGCATCTCTCCCTCTGCCGCAGCCCTCGGGGAAAGGCTTCTCCGGGCTCTGGCGGCGAGGCTGGCCGAGGCAGGCAGCTCCCGCCACCACCCCCGGGAGCTGTGGCCTGCGGGCCTGGGGTGCTCACGGGTGCTTTGACTGACAGCAGTTATTTTGCTGTCACGGTTTCAAACCTCGCCTGTTGCTGCACAAGTGATGGCGGGCTGGTTGCTGTGGCAACGGTTCCCAAAGTGGCAGAGCACCCCACTGCTCCCCACCGGCCCCAGGAAGTGGGTGCTGAGCTCGCATGAGGTCTCCATCTCATGTGGGGAGCACCCGCGTCCTCTCCACACCTGCCCCGTAAGGGATGGAGGTGAAGGTGATGAATCTCAGAATTACTTGGGATCCAGCTTTTTATTTGTTCAAGGATCTCACTACAGGGATGCAGACAGGTCTGGCAGCCAGTCTGCCCTGTCTGGGTAACGTGCTGTTAACTCTGAGCCCTACTGATGTACAGTGGTGTTATTAGCTATTTTGCTACTGGTGATTTGAACAAAAACATCTCGCACAACCCAACTTTCTTCCCACGAGCTGAATGACCCTCACAGCTGCCAAACCCACCCACCCTTGCCAACAACTTCTACAATACCATTACCTTCTGTCAGTATAAAAATCAGCTGACTGCATGTGAAACAGGGAGAATAAGAAGGGTGCCTAGTGCCTGTCACACATTCAGTGTAGCAGGGTGGTGTTAATCCTTAACGAATTAAAGATGTAGTTTTAGTTTGAGGCTGCTGCAAAATAGTGGTTTGCTGTGCAGCACTGATGCTGAGCCCCAGGATTTTACCATCACAGCCTCAGTGAAGTGGATACCATCTGCAAGCTGAGGCAGCCCTGTTCCCCCAGTCCCAGGGATGCTTATGGTTGCAGTGATCCTACCTTGTTCAGGTTCAGCTCCGTTTTGCATGTAAATACTGTTACATGGTAAGTGGCTTGAAATAACCTCCTGCCCCCATCTCGTCCATCGCTCATCCTCCAGGGTTTCGGGAAGTTGCATTCAGAGCTTGCAGCATGCATCTCTGGGGTCTCAGTGCCATTTACATCTATGTAGTAAGCGGGAAGATGATGTAGGTCTTTGTATAACTATTGGGTAAAGCATCAAGCTGGGGGTTCTAGGTTGAGGCCAGATAGATTCAGACTGCTTAGGTATCCGCTCTTTAGGGAGGGAGATATTCACCGTTACTTAATGATATTAAAGTCCAGATTGGTGTGTTGGTGCCAGGGTTCAAACAAGCATCAGAGAAGCATCTGCTGGCCCGTATTGTGCTGGAGCCAGATTAGCTGCCCTTTCTGGCTGCTGCGTCTATCCGCTGCATCACTGAACCGCCATTGTTCTTCCCGACGCAAGAGCATGGCGGCCTCGTGGCAGTAGGTGCCACGGGGAGGGCTGGCCATGCTGTCCCAAGGCAGGGATGAGTCCTGCAGCTCTGTGGTGAAGCAGCCCGACGGAGGCGGCGCGTGCAGGGAGCCTCACCTGCACGCCCCAGGGGCAGACGTGCTGTCCGCTGTAGGGCACAGCGCGTGAGCCGTCCCAGGCCAGGGCTCATGCTGGCCGCGCTCCCTCCTGCACGTGGCGAGCGCTTGTGCAAGGATGGCAAGATCTTCTCAGGCAAGCAGAGCTGAGGAGCTGCTTTGTATTTTGGGGCTGGGGATGTCGTTTGGCCTGGGTTGATGTCCAGTCCCGGAGGCTGGCTGCTGTGCCTGAAGCTGTTGTGAGCGCGGCTGATTCATTTGCCCTTACGCGTCTCAGCAGGGCAGCTGGACCAGTGTGTCCGAGTTCAGCATGAGGTGAGCTTGGGACAGGAAG